TGCTAAAGGACCATCCTTTGGGGTAGCACCCCTTTAATTAATAAATAATGATAATAATTAATAGTGTTAGATAATGAAATAATGAAGTATTACCTACCTCAGGAACATGGAGATGAATTTTTGCTTTATCAAGGAAATCATTTGTAGGATCTTTTGAAGACAAAAATGACTAAAATAATACAGAAAAACACGATTACATAAAAGCACCTTATACAGTATATAGCTAGAAAATTTGGAGTGTTAAAATTTTGGCAAAATTTTAACTCTGTGCATGTTTCTATGGTACCCTATCAAACTGAAGACTAAAAATTTGGCAAACGGACCTCAATTTGCCAAAATTTTACTCCACCAAATTTTCTAGCTATACAATATTTCCATCTCTCTCTCTCTCTCTACCTTAGCAAAAGTATAAGCAATAACAGTTGACTCCTTCATTACATCTCCTAACTGTCCAGTAGTAGTCATACCCCCCTCCCCTCTCTCCTCCTTTAAGAGGCCCCGCCCCTCAGCCACGCCTGTCTCCACATAAAGAGTAGTACCTCCCATTGACGTCCAGGCCAGACCCATGACAACACCAGGGGGTGTCCAGGCCCCGCCCCTCAGCCACGCCTGTCTCCACATAAAGAGTAGTACCTCCCATTGACGTCCAGGCCAGACCCATGACAACACCAGAGGGTGTGGTCTCGTAGAGACGATCGGAAACAAAAGGAGGATGACTGACAAAATCTTTTAAATTAGAAGAAGAGATTGTGACAGGAGGGGGAGAAGGTTTCGCTTCTTCTTCTTTTGTTTCTTCTTTCTTTTCATCTTCTTCAGCTTCAGCTTCATCATCATTAGTCTGTGTCTGTGACACAACTTTAAAAGCTGCTTTACGTAATATCTACCAAATGAAGGAGAGTGAAATTACAATGAAGGAATATAATAATATCAAAAGCAATGTATGTACATGCATTACAATGGACGTACCATATACAATGTAGTGGGAAATTTTGGAGGAAGTTAAATTTGGCAGATTTCGTGTTTTGATAGCCATTCGCCAAAGCCATTATGGACATGCTCAATGGCATGTGGCCACAAATTTTCCAATTATCAAAATTTAGCAATTCATCAAAGTTAACTCCCAAATTTCCAACTATGCCATATGCCATAACATTAAATGTATAGGCATATGTGTATGCATATGTACAAGTATATTTAGCTGAATACTATATAGCAAAAAATTTTCATGGATTTCGCATTTTTCCAAAACCCACGAAAATAAAATCCACGAAAATCGATTCTACATGGTTTAAGATGGCTGAAATGTAGAAAACCACAAAAATTAAAGCCATGAAATTGATTTTTGACGGATCTGCAAAAATTTTGGGCCATAAAAATTTTCCGCTATACGGTATTTTAAGTAACTGTACAATTACACATACATAAATGATAAAACAGTTCAACAAGCAATGGACAATAGATGTACATTGTACATGTATGTACATGCATTTATGAATATTTATGACTATGTGCGTGTGTAATTCGTAAAAAGTTTTTCACCACGAAAATAACCCAGTATATGATATACATGACATGTATTGATATATTATTATGACTTATGTGTGTGTGTGATCATGTTTGGAGTCTAGACCTTCTCAATGTGTTTCTGTAGGTTCCTCACTCCGCTCTCCCTACCTACAGTACCACTTGATGAGGGACTGGAGAGCATCAGTTTCTATGAGGACCTGCCCATCCTCCAAACCAGAGGAAGAACGAGCTTGAGGTATCAGGTAATTCTGAGCAATGGCTTCCTTCTCTTCTGATATATAACCAGAGACCTAAGAGTGAGATTAAGAATGATATAATAGTCTATGGTGTTTCAATAAACTTTAATGTAAAAAATCCAATTTTGGTCGGAATCAGCTCAAACTTGCTACGCAACATAAGCACATGTATATGTATCAGGAAATGTAATAAAAATGGACAATTTTCAACTTTTCATTTTTGAAAAAATTTGGCCAAAATCCCTGTACTATAGTACAGGGAGTTTAGTCCAATTTTTGAGCAACTTTAAAAATTCGTAAAAAATCCAATTTTGATCGAAATCAGCTGAAACTTTCTACACAACATAAGAACATATATATGCATCAGGAAATGTAGTAAAAATGGAGATTTCTTTCCTTTTCATTTTTGGCAAAATTTGGCCAACGACACTGTACTATAGTACAGGGACTTTAGTCCAATTTTTGAGCAACTTTAAAAATTCGTAAAAAATCCAATTTTGCTCGGAATCAGCTCAAATTTGCTACACAACATAAGTACATGTATATGTATCAGGAAAATGGAGATTTCTTTCCTTTTTATTTTTGGCAAAATTTGGCCAACGACCAGTACAGGGACTTTGGCTTGATTTTAGGCAGCAACGTTTACACAGCAACGCAAAACGTATCGTTTTTAAAACGATACACTTTGAACACCGTTTTCGTTTCCATAGAGTCCTATCAAGATTCTATCACGTTTTCAATCGTTTCTGTGTAAACAGAAGCATAAAACAGGCACAAAACTGAACGGATTGCATCGTTTTCGTTGCCGTGTAAACGCAGCCTTAGAGCAACTGTAAAATTCCATAAAAATTAATTTTGCTTGTAACCAGCTCAAACTTGCTAAAACATGTATATATTCATGTATCAGTAGTTCCTTTACTTGTATTATTTCCATTCTGTCAATGAGTGGTCCTGGTATAGTGTCAGTTGTATTGGCTGTACAAATGAACAGGACACGTGATAGATCCACAGGAACATCAAGATAATGATCCAAAAAGAAAGAATTCTGCTCTGGATCAAGCAACTCTAACAAAGCACTGGCTGGATCACCCTGAGAGAGAGAGAGGGAGAGAGAGAGAGGGAGAACATGACAAAATGACTCATAAATCCAACACTATCATAAGCTACAAATCATCATGCATTATAAATACATGTACAAGAATTATGTACGAGAATATTCCATTCCCAAACTCCCATACCTGGTACCCACGTCCCAGTTTATCAACCTCATCAATCAGTATGAGTGGATTCTCGGTCTGTACTTTCTTCAAGCTCTGTATCACTTTACCAGGCATTGCTCCAACGTATGTCCTCCTGTGTCCCTTTATCTCAGCCACATCAGTCATACCACCCACACTGAACCTGAAGTACTAACACACACACAGACACACACACACACAGAGGGAGAGAATCAGTCAGTGATTGTTGTATTAGTTTATTGTGGGGTCTTACTTCTCTATTTAATGCCCGGGCAATTGAACGAGCTATACTAGTCTTACCAACACCTAAAGAGAGAGAGAGAGAGAAATAAAAAGAAA